AAAGTATTGTATAATTGATATTTAATGTCGATTGGGGTATGCGGAATACCTGGATAAACCAATAAAATATATTTACTCATGAAAATGCTCTCCACTATTTCAATGGAATTCATATGATTTTGATATCTTATGTTGATTGGGATACCTAGATCACCTGGAAACACGCATAAAATTAATATACCCATGGAGACGACGTCCATAATCCTGACACCATTAATTTTATAGATTACAGCTAACGCAGTAAATTTATTTGTCGTAGTGGTTAAAAGCAACCTATTTGTACGTATTTTATGCTCTTTTAAAGCTTTTCGGTGTATTATCGATTTTGTTATACCTGGTGACCTGGTACGTCAAAGATAAGATCGTCTGTGAAGATGATGTCCACTATTTTAATGAAATTTTAGTATAATTGATGTTTAATGTCGATTGGGGTGTCCGGAACACCTGGATAAACGAATAAAATATATTGACTCATGAAGATGGTGTCCACTATTTCAATGGAATTATTATGATTTTGATGTCTTATATTTATTGGGATACCTAGATCACCTGGAAATACACATAATAATATATACCCATGAAGATGACGTCCATAATCATTATACCATTAATTTTATAGATTACAGCTAAATCGGTAAATTTATTCGTCGTAGTAGTTGAAAGCAAATTTGTACGTATTTTGTGCTCTTTAAAAGCCGATTCGTGGGTTTATGTGCGGTTTTACTAAAATATCTATAAGTAAAAAATTGAGAATGTTCTTATTTAAGTTCAACAATTTTGTTAAATGTTTTTTTTTTCAGGATTCTTTTAGTATATTATCGATCTTAATAAACCTAGTGACTTGGAACGCTATCAGATATAATGAAACCTCTGAAGATGGTGTCCACTATTTTAATGAAAATAGTATAACTGATATTTAATGTCGATTTGGGTATGCGGAACACCTGGATAAACGAATAAAATATATTAACTCATGAAGATGCTGCCCAATATTTCAATGGAATTAATATGATTTTGATATCTTATGTTGATTGGGATACCTAGATCACCTAGACACACGCATAAAAATATCTACCCATGGAGACGATGTCCATAATCCTGACACCATTAATTTTACAGATTACAGCTAAATCGGTAAATTTATTCGTCGAAGTCGTTAAAAGCAACATATTACTTTGTACGTATTTTGTGCTCTTTCAAAGCCGATTCTGTGGTGGACGCGCATCCATTGGTCGAAGGCCATAGGCCAAGCGGTGTAGGTGTAGGAATTTGTGATATATGTTTCTGGAAGATGACAAGTGCGGCGCATAAATAGAAAATTAATTATAATGAATAATTTGTCTGCCGACCTCTTGCATACAACAAATTAACTGAAATCGTCGGACAGCCGAAAGAATTCACTCGATGTGTTTGATTTTAATGCTCTGTTTTACTCGAGAGAAGGCTGTAAAATGCAACAAATTTGATAAAGATAGTAATTGTTTTCTCTTCTTTGTTATTTACATGATCTACTTAAAAATGTAGAACACCTAGAGGAATGAATTTAAAATTATACTTATGAAGATGATGTCCATTATGTTGGTGTATCAATAAAAATATTACATTTCTATATTATAGTGGTGTGTGATTAGAACACCTGAGCGAGTGATAAAAATGGTTATCTATGTAGATTATATTCACAATATATCTACTCATGAGGATGATGTCCACCACTTTTGTCAAATTAATTTAACAAGATTGATATGTCTGCTTAAATACTTAAAACACTTGGAGACTTGCATATAAAATGATAGCTATGAAGATGATGTCCATTATCTTGTTAGGATTGTAATAATATTAGATTCCTGCATATTATTGGGTGGCTGCAGGAGGTAAAAATGGTTATCTACGAAGATGCTTCCATTTTAATACTGAAACATTTTACAGTGCACAACAAACATTAAAATTTAAATTTATCTTATATTTCATATAAAAAAATCATGTTTATTCAGAACATTATAAATTAATATTAAATTTAAACGAAAGGTGACTAAATTAATCAATATATTACCACATAACTATATATTAAGACTAGACGGATTATAAAGTTTTAAAAAATTTGCAATTCAAATATATCTATTGTTATCCAATCTAATTTACCAAATCAATTTGGATGACATTATCTTTTTATAATAAAATATCTTTTTTTAAAAGAGGTATAGGGTGATTCGTAGATGTTTGTAAAAGCAAAAAAATAATTTCACTGTATAAAAACTTTATTGAATTTCATTCCGTATACCGGCTATAAAAATACCCAATCGTTCAAGTTTCTATTTTATGTAAAATCCAAATATTACGCAAACAGCATATCACAAGGCACACACCGATATAACTGATTACGATCTTATTTTTTTATCCTCTCTAAGTTGATCGGCGCGCGATATAAATCACTTTGCTTAGTTGGAAGCGGGTTATAAACGGCTACAAGAAAATTTACATCGAAGAATTCTATTTATTTTGATTGAAATTTTATTCATTAAGAGAAATTTATGGAAAGGATATGTCGGCCGCTCGACCTGTGTGCCACAAATACTGCGTTTATTTTATTGTTTTGAACAAGTTTTTATGTTGCTATTGATATGTGGGGGTAATTTGATGGAAAATTCGCTGTTTATAAATAGGAGGATTAATTTTCTTTTAGCAGATCTACGTTCTTCATAAACATAATGGATAATGTCCTCATAGCAAAACATTTTTCTACATTCCTCCAGGTGTTCTAGGTATCCAAGCAGTGTTGTCAGTCTAGTACAATTGTACTAGCTCTAGTTTATTTTCTAAGAATCTGGTACACTTGAAGTAAAGTTTAGTACCTTTTTCCATTTTAGCGTTACATTTGCCTGATTGTTCTTCAAGTTTTGAGAGATTTTAGATACCTAGAACACCTGGAGGAGGTACTTAAAAATAAAACCCATGAAGGTGATCTCCGTAATATCAAATATTTTTAAATATTTAATTTTTAAGCAAATATTGAATACAGATGTAATTTCCTTAAGAAAAAATTAACTATGAAAAAGTCGTCCATCATTACAATCAAATGAGTGTTTCTTCAGTTTTGTTACATTTTTAGATATCTAGAACATCTGGAGGAGGTACTTAAACAAGGAACCCATGGAGATGATGTCCATAATTCGATCATTAAGCTATGAAGAAGGCGTCCATCATTACACCCAAATTAATGTTTAGATACTTGATTGAAGTTCTTGAAATTACCCAATCTCGTACATATAAATTAAAAATCGCAAGGGAAAGATACATTCCCAGTGTATTTATTTAGTAACAATACGTAAATAATTCTGGATATCATCTCCACGGGTAACTATTCTTATGCATTCATCCAGGTGATCTAGGTCTCTAAATCTGTATATACAATGTCAAAATGAATATGATATCAATACTATTATAATTAAATAAAAATTGAGGACATCATCACCATGGTAAACATGTTTTACAGTCAGTCCTACAGGTGATCTAGGTATCCAAATATATAAGAAATCTTTATACAGCATGATTACATTAAATTTGTAAACATCATCTTTGTAATTAACTTTTTTTACTTATTCCTCCAGGTGATCTGGTTATCATAACGAACAATTGTTTGATACATGAAGATGTAATTCCCTTAAAAAACTGAGCTATGGAGAAGTCGCCCATCATTACAATCAAATGAGTGTTCTTTTAGTTGTGTTACATTTTTTGATACCTAGAGAACCTTAAAAAGAAAACCTATGAAGATGATGTCCATAATATCAAATATTTTTTTTTAATTATCTTAAATACAATTTGACATACTATTCACAAGCTTTGTATAAAATTCAGGGGTTATCGTTTTAATTTGGATTTAAACTTTTAAACAAATATTTGATACTTGGAGATATAATTAACAAAAATAAAAGTAAGTCATGGAAAAGGGGATTACCGTTACATTCAAATAATTGTTCTTTCAGTTTTGTTAGATTTTAGATACCTAGAACACCTGGGGGAGGTACTTGAAAAGAAAACCTATGAAGATGATCTCCATAATATCAAATATTTTGTAAATATTTGATTTTCAAACAAATATTGGATACATGGAGATGTAATTCCCTTAAAAAAATTAAGCTATGGAGAAGTCGTCCATCATTACAATCAAGTGAGTGTTTCTTCAGTTTCGTTACATTTTTAGATACCTAGAATACCTGGAGGAGGTACTTAAAAATTAAACCCATGGAGAATGGTGTCCATAACATCAAACATTAAGCTATGAAGAAGGCGTACATCATTACACCCAAATTAATTTTTAGATACTTGATTGAGGTTCTTGAAATTACCCAATATTTCTTATACAAATATTTAACTTTTAATTATATATTGGATACTTGGAAATATAATTCCCTTAAATAAAAACTAAGCTATGGAGAAGTCGTCCATAATTTTAATCAAATGAGTGTTTCTTCAGTTTTGTTACATTTTCAGATATCTAGAACTCCTGGAATAAGTACTTAAACATGACACTCATGGAGATGGTGTCCATAATATCAAACATTAAGTTACGAAGAAGGCGTCCGTCATTACACCCGATTTAATTTTTAGATACTTGATTGAGATTCTTGAAATTAACCAATATTTCTTATACATATAATCGCAAGGGGAAGATATCTACGAGTATTTATTTATTAACAAAACTTAAATCATTGTGGACATCGTCACCATGGGTAAACATTTTTTACAGTCCTAGAGGTGATCTAGGTATCCAAATATATAAGAAATATTATTACTGTCATAATTATGTAATTACATTAAGTTAGTGAACATCATCTTCGTGGTTAACCTTTTTCATTCATTCCTCCAGGTGGTCTAGTTATCAAAACGGACATTTGACTTTTAATAAAATTATAATTAACTGATGTCTTTAAGTAATGTATATAGTATCTATGTCAATTAAAAAGATGATTTAATAATGCAAATAATATCTAGTAACTTACCTTGCATCCTTCACAGGTAAATGCGCCAAAATGAAAGCCTGCCGCTGGCTCGCCGCACACCTTGCACAACTGGTTCATCTGAAAATAATAAATAATATTTACATGTCAAAATAAATGCAGTTGGTAAACTAGTTAGTTTAACACGCTTCTTTTTCGATCATTTTGAGTTAAACTTAATAATCCAGGAAGTAGTACGCGAAAGTACCAATTATTTTAATGAAATTTCAGTAATGGTTAATATTTAGGTTCGATAGAAGGACCTGGAGCAGTGATTAAATCATTTTATCTATGAAGATGATGTCCAATATTTTAATAATTTATTGAAAACGTGATATTAGTTATAAAAACTGTCCACCCAAGAAGACGTCGTCCGCAATTCTGTGAATAATTCAGTAAATAATCGTTTTTCGTTGCCATCAATTAGTTACAAGAATAATTCTCGCCGACAGAAAAAAACGTAGACAAAAAGAATAGTAAACATATAGCCAATGATTTTACTTTTACATTGAACAACCACGTCTCAACCATAAACCCGTGAGCACTTTATCACGTCTGTTCTCGAAAAAACGTTTAATCTTGCGATTTATCGGGGTGAAACCAAAGACGCAGCGCGACGAATAAATTCCTTCTGATTGCGGAGATTTATCAAGGAAAATTGTGCTATTTGTCGGATTCGCGCGGTGTTGTGACACTTTGCTAAAAGCTTGCCATAATAATATAATGCAACAACTTACTATATGAATTTATCGCCTTATTTCCAGTTCTACGCGTGAGATTGCTTGCTATAATATACAGTGTGGAACAGCCAAATGGAATAAATTCAGCAGCTTAATTACCGTGCATATATTTATAAAAAACCCCGAAACACGTCAATGTTAGATTATAAAATGACATCTTGCAACGAGAAAATTTTACCCCTACCTTCAACCCCCTTCGAGTGACAGTTGCAGCCCCCAAATATATAAATAGGAAGTAGGGGCCTGCGATACTTCATTTAAAAGGTCCCTTCATAAAATAATGGACATCATCTTCAGAGGTAATTATTTTTACAGAATGTTCCAGGTATTCTATCTATTTTAAAAGGCATAAAAAATCAATATTATTATAATTCCTTTTAAATAATGGGCATCATCTTCATAGGTAAGCATTTTTAACCACTACCGCTGATGGTCTAGGTATCTAAAATGAGACTCGGCGTTAAAACCATTCAAGAATTGCAATAGTTAGGTTCCAAAGAAGACCTGGAGTAGTGATTAAATGATGTTATCTATAGAAATGATGTACAATATTTTAATAAGAAAATTACTAATGAACATCATCTTCAGAGTTAATTACTTTTAAACCATGTTCCAGGTATTCTAGGTACCTATTCAAAAATACATAAAAATCGATAATATAATAATTTCGCTAAAATAGTGGACAGCATCTTCATAGCTAAACGTTTTTTAATTGTTTTAGGTGTTCTAAGTTATATCATTAATCATAACTATATAATATAATTGTAATTCATAAAAAATGATTGACATCATCTTCGTAGATACGCATTTTTAATACTGCTCCAGGTGGTGGAGATATTTCAAATACAACGGTAATTTGTTATATTATAACAAAATAATGTAAATAAATGTATAAAATGTATATAGATATTAAAGACATGGACATCATCTTCAGAGGCTATCAATTTTATAGACTGCTTCAGGTGTTCTACGTATTTTAAAAGGCATAAAAAATCAATATTATTATAATTCCTTTTAAATAATGGGCATCATCTTCATAGGTAAATATTTTTAACCACTGCCACTGATGGTCTAGGTATCTAAAATGAGACTCGGCGTTAAAACCATTCAAGAATTGCAATAGTTAGGTTCCAAAGAAGACCTGGAGTAGTGATTAAATGATGTTATCTATGGAAATGATGTACAATATTTTAATAAGAAAATTACTAATGAACATCATCTTCATAGTTAATTACTTTTAAACCATGTTCCAGGTATTCTAGGTACCTATTCAAAAATACATAAAAATCGATAATATAATAATTTCGATAAAATAGTGGACAGCATCTTCATAGCTAAACGTTTTTTAATTGTTTTAGGTGTTCTAAGTTATATCATTAAGCATAACTATATAATATAATTGTAATTCATAAAAAATTATGGACATCATCTTCGTAGATACGCATTTCTAATACTGCTCCAGGTGGTGGAGATATTTCAAATACAACGGTAATTTGTTATATTATAACAAAATAATGTAAATAAATGTATAAAATGTATATAGATAATAAAGACATGGACATCATCTTCAGAGGCTATCAATTTTATAGACTGCTCCAGGTGTTCTACGTATTTTAAAAGGCATAAAAAATCAGTATTATTATAATTCCTTTAAAATAATTGGAATCATCTTCATAGGTAACCATTTTCAACCACTCCCCCAGATGGTCTACGTATCTAAAATGAGACTCGCCGTTAAAACCATTCAAGAATCGCAATTTTTAACAAATTTCTTAAAATAATCTCGGATAAACAACTATAAAGAGCCTCATCGACTATCTTAAACCATCATATTTCACGGAGATTCGCTGCCAGATAATTGTCTCTTTAGATACTAAAGAATTTAGAAAATTACAAATACGCATATCTATTAACCGCACGTCGAATATTATCGGTTTAAAGATTCATTTAATTCCCGTTTGGTAGGTACATAAACGCGTGTTCCCACACCAACGCGTACACACCGCCGCACCGCAGCATTTATTCGACCGAACCCACGGTCTCGCACGCACGCCCACTCCTTATTGTTACTTTGTATTAAAAGAATCTATCTACCCCCAGAGGCGGGGTCAAGGGATGGACGACGTCTTCATAGTTAACGTTTTTTTGGTATCTACTTCCTCAAACGATATAAGTTTCCAAATAAATGCAAAAAATTAGGAAATGTAGTGGACGTCATCTTCATGAGAAATTGTTTTGGTTATTAGTTTATTCCTTTATATTCCCCATGTCACAATAACATTTATTTTTTTAATCAGAACCTGTTTGGACTCTTAGATTACCTAGAAAAGTAGCCATAGAGAAGACGCATGGACACCGATTAATGCAAAATTTAGAAGATATAGTGGACGTCATCTTCATAGTTAAACAGGGTTTTAGGTGTTCTAAGTCATATCATTAAGCACAACTATTTAATATAGTTGTAATTCGTAAAAAAAGGTGGACATCATTTTCGTAGATAAGCATTTTTTAATACTGCTCCAGATGTTGTAGATATTTCAAACACAACGGTAATTTTTTATATCATCTTAAAAAAATGTGAACAAATTTATAAAATATATATTAAAATAATGGGCATCATCTTCAGAGATAATCATTTTTATAGAATGCTCCTGGTGTCTTGTCTGTTTACAAAGGCATAAAAAATCAATATTATTTTAATTCCTTTAAAATAATGAGCATCATATTCATAGGCAAGCATTTTTAACCACTCCCCCAGATGGTCTAGGTATCTAAAATGAGATTCGCCGTTAAAACCATTCAAGAATCGCAATAGTTAGGTTGCATAGAAGACCTGGAGCAGTGATTAAATCATGTTAAAAAATACTAATAAACGTCATCTTCAGAGGTTATTATTTTTAAACCATGTTCCAGGTATTCAAAAATACATAAGAAATCATAAATATAATAATTTCGCTAAAAACGTGGACATCATCTTCATAGCTAAACGTTTTTAAACACTGTTTTAGGTGTTCTAAGTTATATAATTAAGCATAACTATATAATATAATTGTATTTCGTCAAAAATTATGGACATTATCTTCGTATACAAGCATTTTTAATACTGCTCCAGGTGGTGTAGATATTTTAAATACAACGGTAATTTTTTATAATATATTAAAATAATGTAAATAAATTTATCAAATAATGGACATCATCTTCAGAGGTAATCATTTTTATAGAATGCTCCAGGTGTTCTACGTATTTAAAAAAACGCATAGAAAATCAATATTATTATAATTCCTTTAAAATAATGGGTATCATCTTCATAGGTAAGCATTTTTAACCACTCTCCCAGATGGTCTAGGTATCTAAAATGAAACACTCCGTTAAAACCATTTCCAAATCAATGCAAAAAATTAGGAAATGTAGTGGACGTCATCTTCATGAGAAATTGTTTATGGTTATTAGTTTAGGTTCCCTATGTCACAATAACATTTATTTTTTTAATCAAAACCTGTTTGGACTCTTAGATCACCTAGAAAAGTAGCTAGAAAAGATAAAACAGAGTAGACGCATGGACACCGATTAATGCAAAATTTAGAAGATTTAGTGGCCGTTATCTTCATGGGAAATTGTTTTAGTTAGTTCCTCCAGGTTGCCCATGTTACAAAAACATCTATTTTTAACTATTTGGGCTGCTAGATCACCTAGACAAGCAACTAGAATAGATTAGCTATGAAGAAGGCTGCCATTATTTCAATTTATAAGAGTTCTTTATATGTTAATATATCTTATAGTCTTTAAATAAAAATTTAGTCCATTACATTTTGTATCAACTCGAAAAAGGTGTTGGCACAGAAATTTTCTCGGAATTATAAATTTTATATCCACTTTATTTGCATTTTTTTAGTTATTTGAGATCTTATCGTTAATGATGCCACCCATAAATTCGAACACAACACGGAGATTAATTAAAGTTATTGCGTAATAAATTTTTGTGATACTTTTGACCACCCATTTTTAACAAAATGTTAACGGATATAAGAAAAAAATTATGATGTTTTAATTAGAGAGACAAGCATTAAATTTTTATAGCGTTTCATGCAGGTTTAACTGTTTCTAAAAATTATTATATATTTTTTGGTAACTTAATAGCCTCTATTAAATAGCTTAAGTTGGGTAAATAAAACGAATTAAAAACCAGTAGTGCTTTATTTTAAATTATTTGCTGACTTGAACAGTATTTTAGTTGTAATTTTAATGTTATCAATATTTTTGTTCATAAAGCACGCCTATGTCTTTAGGTGCGCTATGCCACAAAAAGAGGCTAAAAAAAGGTGAAAGATTTCATAAATATAT